CCACATTAACATTTTTGAGACACAAAAAAAAAAAAAAAAAGGAAAACTACATAGCAAAACTAAGAGAAAAATATATCTCTTTATCTTGTTCTAGCCAATTATCCAATATACTCCAATCAAAACTAACCACACCCAAAAGCCCTACTCAACTCTTTATAAAAATTTATTTAAAAAATCAACGAAAAATGAATTAAATATATCGGCTAATGTGACGCTGAGATATCATTTATGTGGTTACTTACCTAGAAGCCACATTATTTTTCTATTGACTTCCGGATGATAATTGTTAAGATAACTATATTTAATATACTTTCCAAAATTTAATGGTTTTATTAATATAAATTAAAGTTTGAAAATCCAAATAAGATTTTGATTAAAATTTAATGGTCAATGGTGAAATTTACACGAAATTACAATACATTGAAATGGAGGGAGTACAATATAATAAAATTTAATATTGACCGTGTCACATTGGTAAATTTAATCTTGATGCCAAAGGAAATAAAAAGCTTTTTCTTTTGTGCAAATTGGACATAATGATTTGATTGCTTTGGATAAAAAATACTTTAAATTAATTGTAACACTTAGATTTCACATATTTTTATCTCGAATTACATTTGAATCCCAATGAAACATCGTAAATATATATCTTATTATTAATTTTAATTATATTATTATAATATTTAATTTTATTACTGTAATAATTAATCATATAATTATAATTATTTTTAATATCATCCCTTCGTTCGTACGCACGAACCTACTTTTAGGAAAAGCAAAGAAACTAGTTAGGTGAAAAACGTGCAGTAACAAACACCAAAAGGTGATAAATAATACTTGGATATATCAATTGGTCCCACCTTGATCGTACCTTTATTGGCCACGCATTTACTTGCATTGTATATATATTTACGAGTAAAAGTGCATTTGAATTGTATTTATTTTTTTATTAAATATATATAAAAAATAAAAATATTTTATTATAATTTGTCAATAAAAAAATATAAAATATTTTTTATTTTTTTATCAAATTTATATATAATTTTTATTAAAATTTTAAATCTCAATACTTTTATATATTTTTTTTATATTTCGAAAACAAATCATCCCACATATCTCAGTTTGCAAGATAGAAACCATAAAGCAAGGGGTTGACAATTTTTTTGGACAAAAAAGCCGTAGTTTGAAAAATAAATTATAAATTATAAATTTTAGAATTTAGAATTTAAATTTATAAAATATTATATTTTAAAAATAATTATATAAATTATTAGAATTTAAAAGATCCGCATCTTTGAATTTGAGTTTTCAACTTTAGACTATGAAACAAATTTGTTTATGTTTGGGGGTTAATGTTCCCCATAAATGCCGCATAATAGCCCACACAGGAAGACCACTTTGGTCGGCAATAGAACTTTTGGGATCGTGTTATCTTTCAAAGTTTGAAGGCTCGTTCAATATTTAAAAATTTTTGGATAAAAATATTAAATTTGTTAAACGATTTTGAATAAAAATATGAAGTGGAGTTCTTATCCATATCATAATGCAAAGTCTTCATGACTTTAAAAAAAAAAAAAAGTTGAATCGAAATCAAAACCTTATAAGTACCTTTTTTTTGTCTTTGAAATCTATTTTTTCTTTTATATTTTTAGTGGATTGAAAAAAAAAATTGAATTGTTTTCTTTTCTTTTTCATTTTGTTATGAGTTTCAATGGGAATTTAACTACTATGTCAAAATAGGTTAAAACAATACTAGTACCACATTTGTTTTAAGGATGGGTAAATCTTTTCCTCACTTTGGAAATATATATAAATATTGTATTGCATAATTTGTATTGGAATTACAAAATTATGAGTAAATTTCACCGTTGGTTATTGAATTTTGACAAAATTTATTTAGATCATTAGATTTTAAAATGTATAAATAAAGTCACTTAACTTTATTAACTATATCATATTTAGTTATCATAATATATTTCATCTCAAGAATTAACAATATATATAATTTTCATGTAAACTACCTTATCAACTATCACATCATTATTAATTTTTTGGCGAATGCTAGATTTGTCCACGATTTTTCAAGTCTAAATTTAAGTTCGACTAATATAAGATATTATTAAATTAATAAAAATTATTTTTATTTAATTTTAATCTTAATTTATATTAGAAAAGATATAGTCTAACTTGACTGCATCCAATTCATAGATATGTTTAATGAATACTACATTAGCATTTTTGAGACACATAGCAAAAATAGAGAAAAATCAAAGCAAAAATAAGAGAAAAATATAGCTTTTTGTCTTGTTTTAACCTATTACCCACTATACTTCAATCAAAACTAACCACACCGAAAAACCGCACTCAACTCCATCTAAAACTTTAAGTTTCTTTATAAAAAAATTTATTATAAAAATAATCGAAAATAAACTAGATATGTTAGCTGTTGTGATGCTGAGACGTCATTTATGTGGTATCTTACCTAGAAGCCACGTTATTTTTCTATTGACTTTTGGATGATATTTGTTAAATATACTTAATAAAATTTAATGATTTTATTAATACAAATTAAAGTTCGAAAATACAAATGAGATTTTAGTTAAAATTTAATGGTCAATGGTGAAATTTAGATAAAATTACATAAAATTCAATATTGACCTCGTCACATTTGATAAATTTAATCCTAGTGCCAAAGGAAATAAAATGCTTTTCTTTTTGTGCAAATAAAAAGCTTCATAACATCATCATGAAACGGTGTGAGACATAATGATTTGATAGGAAACCTTCGATAAGAAAGACTTTAAATTAATTTTAACAGCCGAATTTCACGTATTTTTATCTCTGTATTTAGATCCCAATGCAACATTTTAAATATATATTTTGTTATTAATTTTAATATTATCATTATAATATTAGTTTTATTATCACAATTATTTTTAATATCATGAAAATCAATTTTCTCATCCATATAAATGGACCAACCTTTAAAAAAAGCAAAGAAGCTAGTTTGGTGAGGAATGTGCATTAGCAAACATCAAAAGGTGCTAAATAATACATGGATATATCAATTGGTCCCAACTTGATTGTACCTTTATTGGCCAAAAATTATCTTGCATTGTATATGTATTTATAAGTAAAAGTGTATTTGAATTGTATTTGTTTTTTATTAAATATATATAAAATAAAAAAAATATTTTATTATAATTTATATCAATATAAAAATACAAAAAATATATATATATATATATATTTGATTTTGATCAAATCTATAAAAAAATTTTATTAAAATTTTAAATCTTATTACTTTTATATCCTTTTTATAATCTTGTAGAAAACAAATCATTCCATATATCTCACACTTTGCAAGGCGTTGGATTTTTTTTTTTTTGACAAAAAAAGTCGTAATTTGAAAATAATTATAAATATTAAAATTTAAAATTTAAAATTATAAAATATCATATTTTAAAGATAATTGCATAAATTAAATTATGAATTTGAGTTTTCAACCATGAAAGACATTCTGTTTTGGGGAGTTGGTGTTCCCCTTAAATGGTGCATAAATAGTCCATAAAGGAAGCCCATTTGGGTTGGCAATAGAACTTATCAGATCATGTTACCTTTTAAAACCCAAAGGCTTGTTTGATATTTAAGAAGATTTGGATAAAAATCTGAACTTTATTTAACATTCAAGACATGACTACGATCCAACAACTATATAATCGTTGAGGACAAAAATAATGCATAAAATGGGCAATGAGATATAACCCATAACGTAAACATACAAAATTCAGCCCAATTAATGAGAGAATTGGGTTAATAATCAATTAGTTAGTGATTAGCTAATGAGATAATTTTTTTTTTTTATAAAATAATTTCAAAACTTTAATTTTAATTTAATGAAAAAAAAAGTTTTAAAAGTACGTAATTTATCACTTGAAAATGATAGTTTTGAAAAAAAATTGTCATCTAAAAAACAAATCATCACATAATTTATGATAAATCATAGAGATTTTGATAGGAAGTAGTTGAATGTCCATTAACGTTGTCTATCAACAATAATTTATTTTTTATGTTTAAAATTTAAATCTTAATTATTAAAAATTAATAATTCAGCACTTTATCAATTAGCAATACTCAATTTTTCATTAGGTTCATTAATTTTCAAAAATTCGAACCAAATTTATCCTTCAAAATTTGAAAAAGTGAGTAAAAAAATCTCTTTAAGTTCGTGCTTATCTCAAAAATAGATGTATAAGTCGTAACTTCTATTATTTACAGAATAGAAGTTTCTCAATGAAATTAAAATTTTTAGACTACAAAATTTAATATCTATAACAAAACTATTTAGAATAACAATCTAAAAAAAATCAATTAAAGATGTTCTAACAATAAATTTTTTAATAATATTCATGCTTATATACATCATACATAGGTTATAAATAGAAATGCATTATAAATATATTATACTCCCCATGTTTTATAAATTATTTTAGTTTGGCTTGATCAAATTTTTAAATTTTGATTTTTTTAATTTTAAATAAAAGTAATAATAGTTCGAATGAATTAAATTTAATTTAATTTTTTTAAATAATATATGATATTAATAAATTTTAAAATTTAATTTAAATTTAAATTGATATTTTATATGATTAGATTCAATACAAATCGAATAAATTCGATTAGTTTGGTTTAATAGATTTTAAATTTTTAAAAATTTTTATATATTATTTTAATATAAAATTTTAATATATTTAAATAATTTTAAATATAAAATAACTATTTTTATTTTATAAAAAAATTTAAAATATATATAAAAATTAATTAAAATATATAATTTAATTCGATGTCATTTTTTATTCAAAATTTAATACAAATCTAATATATATATATATTTAATATTTAAATTTAATATAAACCAAATAAAAAAAATTCACACCAAATAAAACATTATGATTTGAAATAAAATTTTAATTTTTTAGATATTTTCTTCTCCGCTCATTCTAAAAACTTTGAATAAAGAGCTTTTTATAAGTATATTTTTATAAAATTTTAATTTAATAAAACATTTAAAATATAAATCATCAAAGCTACTAAGGAATACACAAACAGGCAGAAGAGACAACGATGATGATAATTTGATTTCCATTTTCCATTTTCTTTCCCTTGACCTGACGAAAATCACAAGAAAAGAGAAAACCCACGTTTCCATTTCAACTCACAAGCGATCTAAACTCACCCAAATCAGATCCGACACTCACCAGCCTTCCTTTTAAGGTACGATTAACACTTCCTTTTTATGGTATTTAGTTTCTTCATTTACAGATGTTTTTGAATAATGTTTGCTGATTTTGCTTATGTTTCCTTAAAACTTGTCTTAAACTTTGTGATTAATTTTGGGTTCCTTTATTGTATACGTTTTGGAATTATTTTGCAGTGTTTGTTTGATTTGTTTATTGAACAATGGACTCGAAACCCAAGAGGAGAACCGTTATAGAGAATGGGGATACAGGGGAAGATTTGGTGCTTGCAACGTTGATCGGGAATGGGGATGATTTGGGTCCTCTTGTTCGACACGCCTTCGAAATGGGTCGGCCTGAGCCGCTTGTTCAGCAGCTGAAGCATGTTGTGAAGAAGAAAGAAGTGGAAATTGAGGAGCTCTGCAAGACTCACTATGAAGAATTCATCCTTGCTGTTGATGAACTTCGGGGCGTCTTGGTTGATGCTGAAGAGCTTAAGAGTGATCTCGCCAGTGATAATTTTAGGCTGCAGGAGGTTGGGAGCGCTCTTTTGGTGAAGCTTGAAGAGCTTCTTGAATCTTATTCTATTAAGAAAAATGTGACTGAAGCTATTAAGATGTCCAAGATTTGTATCGAAGTCTTGGAGCTTTGTGTTAAATGTAACAATCACCTTTCAGAAGGCCAGTTTTACCCTGCATTGAAAACCTTGGATTTGATTGAGACAAACTACTTGAAGAACATCCCTGTAAATAAAATCAAAATAGTGATAGCAAAGAATATTCCTATAATAAAAGCACATATCGAAAAGAAAGTGACTACGCACTTCAATGAGTGGCTAGTTCACATTAGGAGTTCTGCCAAGGATATTGGACAGACAGCAATAGGACATTCTGCATCAGCACGCCAAAGGGATGAAGAAATGCTGGAGCGGCAGAGAAAAGCTGAGGAACAGAACATTTGTGGCTTAGGAGAGTTGGTATATTCGTTAGATGTCGAAGAAGTTGATGAGGATTCTGTTTTGAAGTTTGATCTTACACCTCTTTATCGGTCATATTACATACATGCCTGCCTTGGAATCCAAGAGCAATTTCGTGAATATTACTACAAAAATCGGTTATTACAGCTCAATTCAGACTTGCAAATCTCTTCCTCACAACCATTTGTTGAATCATATCAAACTTACCTGGCTCAAATTGCAGGCTACTTTATTGTGGAAGATAGGGTCCTAAGGACTTCTGGAGGCCTGTTGTCTGCCGATCAAGTTGAGACGATGTGGGACACAACTGTCGCTAAAGTGGCATCAATTTTGGAAGAACAATTTTCTCATATGGATTCTGCAACGCACCTTCTATTGGTGAAGGATTATATCAGTCTTCTTGGAGCAACTCTTAGAGAGTATGGATATGAAGTGGGTTCCGTTCTTGAGGTCTTGGATAATAGCCGAGACAAATACCACGAGCTTCTTCTTGAAGAGTGCCGTCAGCAAATTGCTAATATTATTTCTAATGATAGCTATGAGCAGATGTTACTGAAGAAGGATTCTGACTATGATAATAATGTTTTGGCATTTCATCTTCAGACTTCAGATATAATGCCAGCTTTTCCATATATTGCACCATTCTCCTCTATGGTGCCTGATTGCTGTCGTGTTGTTCGATCATTCATCAAAGGCTCTGTTGATTACTTGTCTTATGGAGTGAATTCTAATTTTTATGATGTAATGAGAAAGTATTTGGACAAGCTCTTGATTGATGTGCTTAATGAAATTGTGCTTACTAAAGTTCATAGTGCTGGCATTGTTGTATCTCAAGCCATGCAGATTGCTGCAAATATATCATTTCTTGAAAGAGCTTGCGATTTTTTCCTTCGACATGCTGCCCAACTTTGTGGAATTCCAGTTCGATCAGTTGAGAGGCCTCGAGCCAGTTTGACAGCCAAGGCAGTCTTAAAATCTTCAAGTGATGCAGCTTATCTGGCTCTACTGAATTTGGTAAATAGTAAGTTAGAAGAGATCATGGCACTTACAGAAAATATAAACTGGACTTCTGAAGAGATATCCCAAAATAATAATGAGTATATGAATGAGGTGGTATTTTACCTTGACACTCTTTTGTCAACAGCACAGCAAATTCTACCATTGGATGCTTTATACAAGGTTGGGAGTGGGGCTCTTGAGCATATTTCCAATTCTATTATTGCTGCATTTCTCAGTGATAGTGTCAAGAGGTTTAATGCCAACGCAGTCATGGTTATCAACCATGATCTAAAGATGTTGGAGAATTTTGCTGATGAGAGGTTTCACAGCACTGGCCTAAGTGAGAGATATAAGGAAGGTAGTTTTCGAAGTTGCTTGATAGAAGCCCGACAGTTGATAAACCTTTTGTCCAGCAGCCAGCCAGAGAATTTCATGAATCCTGTAATACGGGAGAAAAACTACAATGCTTTGGATTATAAGAAAGTGGCTAGCATCTGTGAAAAATTCAAGGATTCACCAGAAGGGATCTTTGGGAGCCTTTCGACCAGAAATGCAAAACCAAATTCAAGGAAGAAATCGATGGATGTGCTGAAAAAAAGATTGAAAGACTTCAACTGAGATGGATTCAAACATTTGCTTGCATTAGAAGCGGTTATGTCTATTTTGATCTTCATATTTCCTTTTTTTTTCCTAAATGATATGGTTTGTAGCTCATTTGATGGTAAATTATTATAATAAAGTTTCTTTATTCCTCTCTATCCTCTTGCAGTTTTCTTTCTTCTGGTTAACCACTGGTTAACCAAGTGGGGAATAGTTTAGGAAATCACATGATACATTCTTACAGGTTAAGGTTACTTTAAACTTTACTTGGGATCTATTTATATACTTATGATGTTTGACAATTTGGCAAATAGTACCTGACATTCATTTTTCTTTGTTTTATTTTTACTATAAAAGTTTGCTCTTTTAGTATTATATGAAGAATATGGGTCTATATAATCAATGGTTGAAAATTTTCTACAAGAAACAAGTTTCTGGCCAAAACCTTTGAGCAGTGGTGATAACCCTCAGAATTCTTTGGTATTAAGAACAACTTACTGCAGTGTTTTCCAGCGGTTTTGAACTGTCAACCATTGATTATAGTAACTGTTCTATCCCACTCTTCTTTCCCCTGTTTCATGTTGTTCTCTCTATGGACTATAGCATTATCAGAGTTAGTCTTTAAAGAGCTGGTTTGGAGCTGCATTTGATAGCAATTGTTGAATATAACCGTAAATGAATGTCAAACAATGTAAAATTTTCTGTCAAAAGATGCTTTTGTGATTGCAGTGCAATTGATTCTAGTCACTATTTTTATGGCAATGCAGAAATAGGCCCAAGTCCTGCGCCAAAAATTACTTCACTATCAGGTGCTCTGACTTGCATTCCTCTGCCCTTGAGATTTTCCATCTCTATCATTTCTTCTCATTCCCACTTTTCCAGTTTTGTTTCTGTTTGGTTGCAGATTTTGCCAGAAAACTACATATTTTTCCCACCATCTCTTGCATTTTTTGTGTTTGTTTAGCTCTGATTTTGCTCCTTCCATCTCTTTCTAATATTCCCTCTTATTTCTCTGGTAAACTTTTAATCTCCTTTCCTTTTCCATTTTTTGATATTTTTTAATGCATCAGTTTTCCATTAGGAGACCTTTGGGTCTGTAATTTTACAAGTGCTGTTGTATTGAGGATTTTACATGCAAATAGTTCTAATTTTGAGGCTCTGAAAAATGTAGAAAAAAATACATTGTGGTTTGTTTATTTCTCGGATTTTTTCAGGACTTACTTTTATCTTGATCCAATCTTCTGGTGGTAGACTGCTAAAGAGATACACGATTGGGTTGGATGCGAACCTTAGTCCGGGTTGGTACCTTATACTTCTAGACCCTCTTATGATTTGTTTTTTAAAGTTTGTATCAGCTTTTTCATGGATAGTGTGAACTTTATTACATCAATCAGTGACATTTTTGGAAATATTGATTCAATCCAGTTACTAGAATTATTTATGGGAGGTGCCTGGAATAAGACCCTTCATTTGATGTAACAATATGTGTTCATATTCTGTTACTGGAGGCCATGATACACCATTTTTAATTGTAAATTCACTAATTGGAATCTCCTTATCTATGCAATTTTTTTGGTACATAGGAGGTCGCAGCTTTAGATAGGGGAAGGGGATGCAGGTTTTGGAATTAGAATCCCAAACCTATTGGATGCCACCTCTTAAAGATAGCTGCATGAACTGAGTTAAGCTCTGAGTTCACTTATTTTTGCAATTTGACAAAAAAACAAGTTTCAGTTAGAAACTTAAATTAAGTTGATGCCTTCCACATGCATGGCAATTCATGAACTGTAAGTGCAATTTAGTTATGGATGCATGTTAATTCATTAACTGGTGCAACTCAGTTGTAGATGCATGGCAACTCAGGTTAAACATCAAGTGCAACTAAAGTGATTATTACTATGCTTGAACTTGTACACGTATGAGAATATTTGAGGTTCATTATGTAGGATTTATCCAACCCCTCTGCCTCTTTTTCCAAGTTTTTTGTGTTCTCTGTTACACCATTAAAGAAAGTCATAATTGAGATTTGGCCACTGTGGTTTTTAATGCTGTCAAATTAACTGGATGAGGTAAGGATCTTTTGAGAACTGTCTTATTGTTTGAAATACTTCCTTGTTCTTTAATTGTTCTGATGGCATTTGAAGTTTTGGTGGTTTCTGCTTTTTGTTGCATGGAGCTAGCAATTCAAAATTCCATGTAAATTAGAAGATTTAGGATCTGGGATTAGCCTGAAGTGTACAGTGGTAAGCATCCAGAAAATTTTTTTTCTTGTTTAACTCTTTGTCCTTGGAATGATACATCCTAAACTGGGAGGTCTGTCACTTGATACGTTTTGTGAGATGTATATAAACTGTCCTTCACTCAATCTCATGAGTCACAGAAAGCTTATATATGCATATGCATAGCCTACTTGCTCTTGTTTTGAGTTTTTCTTGTAGTTCGTCCATTAATGCTACCAACATATGTAACTTGTGCATGTTGCTAAATATTCGAGGCTGCTAATAGAAATGTTTGTAGTGCACTTATCATTGCATGCATGTCGATAGGGCTATTCGGGTTCCCTGCATCCAATCGACTCATACCTTCCAAACCTGTCTCCAGGATCTCATTCAATAGATCTAACCCATTTCTAGGGTAGATAGAGGAGTTCGTTTCCCGCTTCCTTTGCTCCACTGGCACCAAAGATCAAGAATTCAAAATAGAAAGAAAGATTGGTTAGTGGGCTGTTAAGCCCCCTATTACAACAATGCAGATAGCGGAAAGGTGAGCAGCTATAGCTTCATTGTTCATCTTCCCCTCGCTACCGGATGAGTGAACTCTACCCGCCTATGCTGGATGGGAATGGATTCAATCAACGGATTCCCTTTGCCTCCTAGATCTACTGGGCGAGTGGAAGACATTGAGAAAGGCTTCACATCCCTTGCAGGGCTTTGAGGTTTGAAACTTGGTTGCGCTCCCCCGATTGAAAGATTCCTGGAAAAAAAAGAACGCCTTGAGGCGGAGGATTGTACCTGGAAATGGAAACCGCCCGTGTCTATCTCCTGTCAAGTGTGCTCCCTGCCACGCTACTCTCACAGCAACTATAACTGTGTGACTAACAACAAAGAACAGTACCAGCTCGTGCATCAGTGGTTCAAGTGCAGTGCCCAGAAACGGTTCAAAGATCTATGGCGACAACAATTTCCCAACAGATCTATGGGAAATACTTGTGCTCATAACTTGGGAGATCAGATATGTTGTCTTGCAGTGAGCCCTTAATGACATCTCTAGACCCAGTTCATTGCTCATTTTCTGCATATTTTTGTAATTATAGATCTCATATCCTGCAGCTTGTGCTCATAACTTACAGGATCAGATATAGTCTTGCAGTGAGTGAGCCCTTATGTTGCATTTACTGCTTTATCAATACAAGGCTCCGTTTGGCAGAAAATAACTTTTAAAAAATAATTTCTGAAAAAATGTTTACATTTTTTGAATACAAAGAGATTTTTTTTTTCTGTTAGGATAAGTTAGTAAAAAATTGTTATCCGTTGTTTGGTTTTACGAAGAATCTGTTTTTTTTTTTCTCAAATAATAGTAATATAATTATTAAAATATTTAAAATTATTTATTATTAAAATATATTAAAATTATTTGTTATTAAAATTATTAATATTAAAAAATAATTATATTTTAATAATAATATTTAATATTAAAATATTATGATAATATAAAAAAATAATTAAAATAAAACTATTTATTATTCTTTATATTATTTATTAATATATTAAAATATTATTTATTAAAATATTATATTAATATTATATTATTTATTCATATATTATTATAATATTTATTAATTAAATTAATAATATTTATTATATTATTTATTAATATTAATATATTAGTATAATATTTATTTATATATTATTTATGAATATATTATAATATTATTTATGAATATATTGTATTAATAGTATATATGATATTATTTATTAATATATTATAATATAATATTATTTATTTATAATATAATATTATTTGTAAGTAAAATTATATTCAAAAGTATTAATAAATAATTTTACTCATAAATAGGTTTTTTCAAAAATGTCTTCCTATTTTTAAATTCAAAAAATAATTTTTAAAAAAATATTTTATTTTTTATAATTAAATAAATTATTTTTCATTGACCAATTAATTTTTTATTAAATAAATATTTTAAAATATAAAAATTATTTTTTAAAAATTATTTTTCATGAAACAAACAGAACGATGCAATGAAAATATATAATTGCAATACCATATCAATCAATCACAAGGTATACTTCATTAATTGATTAGACAATTATTATGACATGATAAAGATAAAAAACACAAAAAATATATAATTTAAAATTTTAATAAAAATTATAAATAAATTAAAAAAATAAAAAATATATTTTATGTTTAATTTAGGGAGATAAATTGTGATATAATAATTTTTGTATTTGATATAAATTAAATTATATATTATTAATAAATTAAAATGTGTATTTTTTAATAAATTTGATAAATACGATGATACGATAAAAAAAAAATATAAAAATTATATAGTTTAAAATTTTATAAAAATAATAAATAAATTAAAAAAAATAAAAAATATGTTTTATATTTAATATATTAATATAAATTATAATATGATAATTTTTATATTTTATATATATTAAACACGAAATAATCATATACAAGTACAAATTTGTTGTATCTCCCGTTAATGAGTAAAATTAAACAACCGATTCGATTCATTGAACTCCTACATTGTTACGGTCCGATGAGATAACGAACCGTTCCGGTTTTTTGTCTGAGATAATTGAACCGGTTCATATGCAATTCATTCCTAGAGGTGTATTTTTTTTTTTTTTTTTTAATTTTAGGCCTTTTTAATTAGAGAAAAATAAAAGGCAAAAGAAACGCTATGCGACTCTCTCTGAACAACCCCTTAAAGCTCAAGGCCAAGGCGCCTCTTCTGCTTCACTCCCTCTCTCTACCCACCGCCAACATCACTCCAGCGTTTCGAAACGTTTCAACTTCATCAAAAGCAACAACCCTATCCCTAACTACAAGAACCACAGGCTTTCTTCCCTCGCCGTTTCTTCGCTGCTCCACAGCCATGGCGACCGCCGCGTCTATTCAAGTCAAGGAGCAAATTGAATTGACCCAAACTGAGAAGAAGATTTTCGATAGGCTTTTGAACACTCTTCGCCACTTCAATCTCCAAACTCAGCTTCGAGTTGCTGGTGGATGGGTCCGCGATAAGGTGATTTTACTCACATTTGAAAACAATTTATCATTTTAAATTTTAGCTTATTTTTATGCCTTATATTAGTAACATCCAGTGCTCAAAAGGAAATGTAAGCAATGAAAAAGAAAACTAAAAAAGAGAAGTGGGTTTTAATGGAATTTTCTGGCATTAAGAAATTCCGACTAATGAAATACACTTTTTGGTAGGGATATTTACGTAGGGTATGGGGTGGTTAAAGCATTGCCCATCCTGTCTTCAGATTTTTATATTATATTATCTCTGTACTCGTATCTAAATATTATTTCAAATTTATTCTCATATTCATTTTTGCAATTATTTAATGAATACGAATAATCTTCAAAAATAAAAATAAAAAATTATTTTTTTAGTTTTTTATTTTTATTTTATATATTTAGGTAATTTTTTTATAAATATATATTTTAATAAAAATATATTAATTTTAATTAATCTAAAATAATAATTATATTATTTAATAAAAAATTATTTACTAAATATATAAATATATATGTAGGTTTATTATGTAGGTTTATGTATATAAAAATATACCCATTTCCATTCCCACAAATGTAATGCCCATCCTCATTCCCATTCGAGCAGAAAATTGGGTTTTCCATTGAGTATGGATAAGATTGATATCCTTACTTTTTGAAGAAAAGTATAATTGATATAATCTAGTTTATTTGAGTTCTTTTTTTTTTTTTTTTTTAATCATAAGTAAGACATTTTTCCTTCAAAACAAGTTGAAGGTTGCTATTTAGCTAATTATTTCGCTACAATCATGATTTATGCTAAGATTGTTAGGGCTGTTATCGCTCATTTGGAAAGTGAGGATATTTCGAATGAATTGCTGTCTATAGGTTAAGAAATAGATGCAATTGCGATAAGTGAGTGAGTAGAGTATTGTCAAACGAGGATAGCTGGCTATAATTTCACAACGATGAATTAGCTGCATATAATGAACGCCAAGGATTGCCATTTATGATGAGATAGGGAAGGGGTTGAGGTGGAAAGTTGATGAAATATTAATTTTTTTATATAAATATATAGTAATTTTAATTTACCAATTTTTTTTGGTATTGTATTCTTGGCTTTGACTGGATCATTATTGTACCATAACTCGTACGTTGCATCCTCTATCTGTATGACTGCTTCAAAGATGGCTTGTGATGTCTCTATAGATTTTTATTACTGGCATGTAGCTTATGTTGGGTTTAATTTCCTTTGCAGCTTCTTGGGAAAGAATGTTATGACATTGATATTGCACTTGACAATATGTTGGGCAGTGAATTTGTTGACAAGGTTCAGGAATACTTGTTATCAACAGGGGAAGTGGCACAGGGACTTGCTGTCATTCCAAGGTATGCTGGTCATTGTATTGTTTTAACGTTCTTCCTTTTGTTTTTTAACTTCATCTGGATAGCGTTTATCATAGTTTGCAACTTTTATTTGCTTAATAAGCTCTTTGTCTCTGTTGGCTTTTCCGTAATTAATCTTTGGTTTTTGTTGTACCATTTGTGGCCATTATACTGTATAATTTTATTTTGCAGTAATCCTGAGCAGTCCAAGCACTTAGAAACTGCTAGGATGCGCCTTTTTGATTTATGGATTGATTTTGTGAACTTAAGGTGTGAAGACTATAGTGAGAGTAGCCGCATCCCTACGATGGTAAACAAATATTTGGTATCTAATTTCCTAAATAATTTTTGGTTTTGTACATTTTTGTAGCCTGGAGGATATATGATCATGTTTATATTATATATCTTCTATTTCTGCTTTTTGAGGACTTGATGGCCTTAGCTGTTTGGTGTTGAGATTAAATGATTTGTAGTTAGTTTTAGAGAAATATATTTATGGGGGGTTCGTGATTTTTTACTTATTCTAGCAAATGAACCTCTTAAAAGATGGTTTCATTTCTTAACAAAATTTTATGCTGTTTCTTTATTGGTTCATTGTATACTTTATATCTTGAGCATTGTGTTACTTAACAGTTCACTCATGTCTTGATGTAGAAATTTGGTACCGCTGAGGAGGATGCATATAGAAGGGATTTAACCATTAATAGGTAGCTTTCTTTGCTGTAAATCACATGTCATAACTAGGAAATGTGCACTTGGTTTATCTTTATCCTTTAGAAAATGAGTAATATAAATAATAATATAACGTGAGCATATTGTCTTTGTCTATATCTTCCTTGATTTTTTCTTTTTTCTAGTAGATAGTATTAATGGGGTTTTCTTTTCTTTTGTCAGCTTGTTCTACAACATTAACACCAACTTAGTTGAAGACTTCACTAAAAGAGGTAAGCAGATTTTGTCTGCTACTTTCTCCTGAATCTACTTATTCCACTTATTTATAGATTGCAGTTATGTTTCATTTTTGTCCCTTTCAATCTAATAAACTGCAGGGATTGAGGATCTAAAATTTGGAAGGATAGTGACTCCATTGCCTCCAAAGGCTACGTTTTTGGATGATCCCCTACGGGTTCTTCGAGCTATTCGTTTTGGTAATTGTTTCCATATTTTCCTTTAGCGTTCTTCAATCCTTTGATAGTTTATTATGGAGGGAATATCATTTTCCATTCTTGTGCTCTTTTTGCCCTTCAATGAAGTTTAATAGCATTACATGAAGGTATGGAAGAATTAGGGATGGTAGGCATGGAGTTATTGGGGTGTATGGTGAGGCCTGTGGAATATAAAATGAGGTTATATTGGACTTTCCAAGTTCTTAGACAGAGAAATTATAGAAAAAAGTGTCATAGTGCTGAATGAGAGCTTTTGATTTATATGTGTATTGATGGTATCTAGTATATGGGGTAGCCTTACCAACAGAAGTAAGACTTTCATAATATGTATCACTAAACTGGGTGGGTAGGCTAATGAAACTGAGACAAATTCATTTACCGCATCAGGAAGCTGAATTTTAGCTGCTTAAACCATCAGGGCAGTTCTCTCTGTTAAATTCCAATAATTTTTTTTGAATGAGTCTTCCGACTCTACAAGATAACATAAGCAAGTCATTATTGTATATACCACTTTCTTGGGGGTCATAATCGGCTGCAAATTTAAGTGGATTTGTGAATATTGTTGGAATGGCTTCCCTAATCCCTATCTATAAAAAGAATAAAGAAAATAAGAATAAGAAGAATGTTTGCAACAGTGGATTCTCAGTCTTGGAAAGCAGGCTAAACTTTCTATTCTTCTAGTAACTGCCTTGTTGCCAACAAGGCTGCATGGTTACCTATTTCTGTTGGTTGACCTCATAATATGTGAACACAAAAAGACATACATTATTTGACTTTTATTTTGTTGATCAGGTGCAAGGTTTGGTTTCACTCTGGATGAAGAATTAAAGAAAGCTGCTGCATGTGATGATGTCAAAACAGCTCTTGCAGCTAAAATTAGCAGAGAGCGCATTGGAACTGAAGTATGTTACTTTCATTCCTTCATATAGTTATATTCCTGGGGATATTCATGTTAAATTGTTCAAAGGGAGATTCTCTGCTGCTTTCTGTACCTTTTTAAAGCTTACTAATTGTTTGTTTTCCATGTTGCTTGTCTGTTCTACAGATTGATCTCATGATCTCTGGCAATCAACCTGCTAAAGCAATTGACCACATTTGTGATTTGACATTATTTTGGGTTGTCTGCAGTCTCCCTGCGAAAGTAGAGCCTGCTGTATCAGAAGATTGCTATAGGTTTCTGGTTAATTTAATAATGTTATATCCTATTCATTCTAGGCTTATTTTATTTTTATTGAAACACAAGTTTATCTTGACTTCATAAGCTCATGTAAGAGTCAAAGAAAATCATAAATGTCCAGTTAGCTTTTAATAATTAATTGGAGGAGTGCACCAAAATAATGGCAAGTTGCTATTTTGAACAATTTTCTCCTTTGGATCTATGTGGTATGTATGACAATGTTTTCTTGCCTGGTGCATATTGACTCTTATTGTCTGAAAATCTGACATTTGGAATGTTCTATACAACTTCAACAACTGAATTTCAAGAGTCTAAGTGAAGCTGCCAAGTCAGTTTGGGGGAAAGTACAATGTTAATGGAAGACCATCATTATATTAGTGGTTATTTTTCCATTTGGCAAGCTCATTGTTTTACTTGATTCTATTTTATTAAAATTCTTCATTTTCACATACCTGTGTTGGATATATATCAAACACCTCAAATGGACATATTGATTTTTGTTTCTCTAAATATTAGGAAAAATAAACAAAAATTATTGAAAGTACTTGTGACAACGTAGTTTGTGTTCAATGACCGTGCCTTGTCCAGGCAATATAGCTTGATTTTGGTCATTATCTGGTGCTTCATTTATCTGTGATTGGTTAGGGGTGGGGATGGGGTGGAAGCTGGCATTTGTAGGTATTATTTTTAGTGGGCCAGAAGAATTCTGAAGTGTATTGAGCATTCTTTGTCAAATTTTCCATCTGAGTTTCCTGCTCATGTATTGTTCCCTTTACAATTTACAGGCTGTCTGCTTCTTATTTGGATGCTACATGGAACCTTATTCGACTTATTGGATGCTCCAGCTTTGATGTGAGTTATCAGACTCAAAGTATTCTGTTGATTCTCTCAAATTGCTTCTGTTATCCTGATTTGATAGCAGGTTTATTTTTTGATTTGTTCTCGTTTCCTCTATTCTCCTGTTTCTGAATTGTGGCATGTGAATTTTAGGACGAACAGAGAAGGCTGTGTTTGTATTCTGCTTTATTTCTTCCATTGTGTAGTGCCACGTACGGGGATCGAAAGGCTAAAAAGGTACTAATCATGTTCATTCCATAAGCTTCCATGTGTGAAGGCGAATAAAGTGTTAACATTATTTTGTTAATTGATTAGCATGGGCTGGACTCTGATAGGGTGCAATGCAATTTTTTTTTTTTTTAATTTGAAGAAAGCTGTGGGTTGTTTTTATTTTTGTCTACAATGGACACTCCCACTTGGCTGAAAATTTTTTGTTGAACTAATCTGGAGTTTGATGGGTTCAACGTATTCTTCACTTGCTTTGTTTTGTTATTCAAAAACTCGTTTATGATAAATCCAAGAGCCTTTGCCATGCAAATTAGTTGGACTCCTTTTAATCTGTCTAAATTTGTGCGTTGCTAAATTATTAGTTGATTATGCTTGAATTGTTTGTCTTGGCATGCTTGACTTGGTTTCTTGTATAACATAACGTGAAAATATGCTGATTTAAACCTGTGCAACTGGACTGCAGATTCCTGTCATCAACTACATTTTCAGGGATTCTCTTAAGCGAAAAGCTAGTGATGCTGAAACAGTGAGTCTAGATTTCCTCCTGATTTTGTCACATATTCTTTGTTTTTGTTAGGATTGTGCATTATAAGCTGAATTGGCAGCCTTCATGTAGCATTAATTACAAATATACGATTCTCTTTGCTTTCTAGGTTATAAACGTCCACAAGTCGTTGGAGAAATTCTTATCCTTGATTCCTTCTCTTTTATCAAATGAGGATATCCAACTTTCTGAGATTGACTGGGGTAGAGAAATTATCGATGTTCCTTTTACTTCAAAATTGCGGGTACTGACAGGTATGTAGTTATTACTATTGTAGTTTGTACTTTTAAGATTGTCTATATATGGTTGTTTTTTTCTCCAAAAATAGACTTCTGAATATAATTCATTATGAATTATTTTCCTCAAAACACTGACCTCTCATTAGACAACCATGTGTGAGAATTGATATATCAAGTTTTTATTATATGTAGTATGATAATAAGTTGTGTTTATGAATAATAGTAAAATGTATCAAACCTGAAGAAATATTGGGTCACTGCTATAGAGAATTGAACTTCTTTACAATTGAAACCGACCAAAGCAATCCAGGAGTGTTCCCTGAGAAAGACATGCTTTCTAGAATTGGAATCTTGGGGAGTCTAAATGCATAACTATTCACTTTTGGTTCTAGCTATGAGGATATTTATGCTTTTCATAATTAGTTATTTCTACCGAACACTTGACTCAGCTTTACAGGTTTTACTCTATCAGCCTGATTTTCTTTTTGCTTTAAAACACTTAGACAATTAGAGCCTTTTTTTTTGGGGGTTGATCTAATATATTCTTACATGTACAGGTTCTGCTTCATATAAATTAAAGATTTTTGGCGAGTTGCTTTGTTGATATCTACATTGCTATATCCCACCAATATTGATTGCACTCAAGATATTATAGACAAGCACTTTCAGCTGGACAAGAGAAAAGACCTGTTTGTATCAGTTGAGAATGCCATTGTTAAATTAGGTATCAACAGTCTCTTTTTCCAATTATTTAAGTTTTTATGTTTAATCCTTTCAAAAGCTCCTGTTCTTGGCCACGTTAATTATATATCCTTAGGTTTTCATTTTTTTCATGCGAAATTCTTATCTTTGACATATAGGCTGTTGTTAGTCTTTCCATTTAGAACATGTTTACTGTGCTTCCCTCCTTGCTCCCCTCCTTGCTTCTCTCTCATGGTTCTCAGCTCCCTGATTATGTTTAGCATGAAACAGTTACAAGACCTAATGGCTGGTAGCTGACTGGTTGAGTATTTTATTACCAAATACTCGTGCACTCTTACCTTAGGCTTTAGTGCTTTGAAACTGCTTCCTTACCTGATAGTTGACGGATCTATTTTGGACCTCTAGTGTACCATCAATCTATTAGACTTAATTTGCAATGCTAAAACAAGGAAAACTACTTCTCAAATAGTAATGGGAAGTTGTTTCTTAGAGTCACTACACAGTCAACGGGGAAAAAAAAAAAAGAAAGAACATGCTAAACCAAGAAAAAATTGAAGTTGTTTATCTGAAACATTAGCTACTCCAATCTTACTCAGTGAATCCGCTTTTATTTCCAGCTAGCAAGAAAAATGATAAATTAAAATTGTTTGGCAGGCTGTTTATGAACACACTCTCAAATGTTTGGAAGAATTAGCTCAAATAGGTAAGACCCCGCGGTAGATAACTTGCCTCGACAGGAATAAAGAGGAGGAGATATCCATTTTCATGGGTTTTCTATTCTTAGTTATCTTGGCTTTCGTTGTAAGTTTTGTATGAGGATAATGCTACTTTTCCTTCACAATTCCAGCTATCTCTTCCTTTTAGTTTTTAGGTGTTTTTTCTTCATTATGGTCCACTCTGTATTCTACTCTTCTGTCTCTTTCTACTTGTAATTATTTATAGTTTCTATTAGAACTTTTGTGTCACTTTTACGTGAAGATGTTTTCCATGAAAATAATTTCCATTTAGAAGTTTATTTCAGTTTCTGAACACTCCCTATATCTAATCTCTGATGTGCAAATGATTAATTAATTTTGTTCGAGCTTGATTTGGAGCATGTTGTGTTCCCCCTCCCCCCGGGTGCAAGTCTCGTCTGATGTTAAGTTTTTGTTTGAATGCAGGTCTCGAGAAAGTTTGGGATTTAAAGCCATTGGTTAATGGGAAGGCTATCATGGATGTTTTGCAGCTTAAAGTCGGAGGGCCACTTGTTAGGGAATGGGTAGGGCATTTTCAGCTGCCTTTTTTTTTTTTTCTTTTCCAAAACTTCAAATGCTAATCTGTTGTTTCATTGGCAGCAACAAAAGGTTATCTCGTGGCAGCTGGCACATCCTTCAGGGACTGCAGAGGAATGTCTTGATTGGATGAAGGAAACACATTCAAAGCGTGTAAAGATGGAGTAACTGACTGCTTCCTTCGCCATTTTCTTCAGCCTAAGAGTGGTTGGTATATTATATTTTGGACCTTGATTACCATCCAAGCAAAACTGTCTTAAAGTTTAGGATCACTTCTCGACATTAAAATCATATACCACAAGAAAAGGAAATCTTTTGACAATCCTGAAATTCATTGTTGCAGCAACATGACTTTCTGTCAAGAATTTTGAAATGATATTTGTATCTCTAGCCCGTACATAAATCTTAAGGATAGATGCATAAGCAATTTGTACTGTCAGTTTTTTTTTTTTTGGGTACAAAAGAGATCGGATAAGAAAGAGTTATAGGTGTTAAGATTTGAATATTAAACTTGTTGAATGCTATCATCTCTAAAAAATAATTGTATGAGTCATCTGAGTTAAGTTTCAGATTCTCATTGTTCTGTCAATTTTAAGTATAGTTATTTCACTAAGTTCATTATATGTAGGATATCAATGGGTTGGGTCGGGTATAGGACGGATATACTATTTTTTATTTTTATCTTCAAATTTTTATATAGTATTCATTTCTATACTCATATTCAATGTGTATTTCAAATCTATTTTTTTATTTTTATCTCTATTTTTACAAGTATTTAATGGGTATAGATCATTTTTGTACTTTTAGCTTTTGAAAAAAATAAAAATCAAAATGTAATTTTTAACTTTTAAAAAAAAAAATTATTTTGCATATTTATTTATTTATTTTATAAATATATTAATATATATTTTAAATAGAAATATATTAGTTTAATTAATTTAAAATTATAATTTATATTATTTAATAAAAAATTTATTAATATACATATATGAATATATAATATATATATTTATAGAGTATGGGTATATATATGGTGTGAGTGTTATAGTATTCATTTTCAATTTTGTATTTGATAAAAAATTTAAAATTATATTTATTTTTAGAATGTAATATTTATTCTCATCTTCATTTAAATAAAAAATTAATTTTTAATTAGATATGAATAAAGTTAACATCTTTAATTATATAAAACTAATGAAATTGGCTTGATGAGTGTGGTAGGCATGGGGACGTAGCTCTTCGTGAGTTTGCTGATGCAAGGCAAGAGCCATTTACCGAAGAGTCTCTTGTTTTAATTAACTTTCTATATTCACTGCCTTGGCAGCTGTTCCCTAAGCGACTTGAGCAATTTGTCTTTGTAACCGATTTGGGAGTTTCAATTTTAAGTCTTTTGATTTGAAGTTCAAGTGTTAATTCTTGGGATGAGTTGACACTGTTTCGTACGAAAGATATTGCCATTTTTTGTATTATGAAAATTGTAAGCAAAATTCGAGTAAGTTGCATGAGAGTGAAAGTTTTATTACTTATTCAACCTCAAATTTATTTTTCGACATTGTAAATAAAAAAAATGTTTTAAAATCATTTTTTGAATAAATTTATCATCAAAATATTGTCACTAAAATATGTTTTTCTTTAAAATTTTAGTTTTATAAGTAAATTTTTAATTTTTAATAATTTTATACAAATTAATTTATGTGATACGTAAACGTGTTAATGAATTTTAAATTATATATTTATATTCGTTTTAATTAATTCAAACCTTTAAATTTTTTGAATAATAAAATTTTATTCTATAAATTATTTATTATATAAAAATTGAAATTTTTATTTTTTAAATAAATTTATATAATTTTTTGAAATAATTTTCATCCAGTAAAACTCATTCTATAATTTTGCCACCAATGTCATATTTGGTATTTTTAAAATATAAATAAAAATATTTCATGTATATTTATATTATGTATGATATAATTATATTATTAAAAAATATTAATTAATTCAATCAAATAAATTATTAATTTTAAAAGTAAAAAGTTTATCAAATTAATCAATTAAATTATTTTATTTAATTCACTATTATTAAAACTAAAACGAATCAAATTGAGTTAACCGAATTTAATTAATTTTCACCGATTGAAATCTATTTTATTATTACAAGTATATATAAAAGGAAAGACTACGTATTGATTTAGAATCCATGTAGCCGTAGGAGTATTAAATGAGCGCAAAAACTTATACTTGTGGATTGTGATGCCACTGCAATCCAAAATGTTTACATTTTTACATGCCCCCAAACATAAGAAAGCCAAGTCAAAGTACTCTATAAAGACAATTTTATTTGTCCAAATAACAAAATCAACTTCCCATGTTGGAAAGTTTGAAAAGTTTGGGTGTGTGCGTGAGAATAATTTATATAAAATTTTATGATAATTTAAATTAATTAATTTCGAATTTATGATATATTTTATTATTTAAAAAATAATTTTAGTATTTGTGCGAGCTTTTAACAATGGATTCATCAAAATTAATATCTCGCAGAGGATAAACTTTTCATGTAGAGATATTTGAGTGCATAAATGTAATTTACATGGGATTATATCTCAAATCAATCAATTTTAAGTTAACGACGAATTGAAAAAAAACAAAAGAAAATTAAGTCAAAATAATAGGGCAAAGAAAATTTCAAACAAGTGCAATCGGCCAAACGGCTGGCAATAACCAATGAAAACCGTACCTCTGGCACCTAACTACATCGTAGTTGCGTAATGTTTTGAGGATGTTTCATGTGTTTAACTAGCAAACCAATTCTTCTTATTTTGTCTCTCTTTTTCAAAGGAGAGAAAACAAAGAGAGAGAGAGAGAGAGAGAGAGAGAGAGAGAGAGAGAGACCACAAAGACTAGCAAACTGACAATGCAATTGAAGCCTCTCAACACCTTCACCGTCACGCTCATGTTGTTCTTCACTTTCTTGATCCTAATCTTTTCAGGTTTCCTTGAATTCCCATCTGTATCAACCTCAATCCAACCCTTTTCCAACCCAACCGAGACACTCAATTCCAAGCCTGATCCTTTTACTGATTTGCTCTTGGCTTTCAAGAAATGGGATTCTCAAATGGGTTGTGCCCGGTTCAAGGAGAAACATAACGATTTGATCCGTTTGCTTTCTAACAGGTCTGGGTCTTTGCAGGAAGCTGTTGGTGTTTCTGGGTGCAATGAGTTGAAAATGGAGCATGTTAGTGTTTTGGTAAAAGGGTGGACTTGGATTCCTGATAATTTGGATAATTTGTATTCTTGTCGATGTGGGATGAGTTGCTTATGGACTAAATCTTCTGTTCTTGCTGATAAGCCTGATGCCTTGTTGTTTGAGACCACTACCCCTCCATTTCAGGTAGTTTTTCTCTTTGCTTTACTTTTTTTCTTTTTCTTTTTCTTTGCTGCAATTATGGAATATAGAAAATTTTTATTTGTTTGCTTAATTAAAATTGAAATCATACTTGTGATCTACTTGTCTTGTGGAGTTTAAAACTCTGATAATGTTTTTTTTTGGAATGGAGTCATAGATTTGAATTGATATCGTAAGGAGATCAATAGAGAGAAGTGAAGTGGGTAATGTGTCAGTCATCACAATGTGAGTGAAGTGAAGTTTTTGAGTAATTTAGCTGCAGCCTGCGATGAACAAGGATGTTTGGTTTGGGAATATGAGGAATTTGATTTTGTTGGTAAGAGCAAGTTGACTAAACCAATTTGGTTAGTAGATTGTAATGATTTAGAATCTAGGGTTCCCTACTTCAGTTTAACGATTTCTTAACATGAGCAACAGATACGTATACATGAACATAGTTCTAAATTGCAGACATGGTTGTGGTGTTGCAATTGCGGGTGTCACAGATGATACATAGCATGTTGCAGTTGTCATGGGTGTGACTTTTTTTTTTTTCAAAAATCACATACATATATATTATAATATATTGTATATATGATGTCAGTGCCTATGTTAATGGGGTTCTTACTATATTCATCACAGCCAAAATAATATATAAAAATAAATTAATCTAAGATCCATGTATGAAATACAAGTCCGATTAAAACAAACTTGATCCAAAAAACAATTACTAGGCATGAATAAAAATGTAAAAGTCCAACTTTCTTGTCCTTGTCCACCTTTTAGTAGATGCCATGGCTTACAAATTCCTTGGGAAGATTCAAATTTCCAACATCTCTCTTTGAGATTCTTTGTAAATTTCCTTTGAAGCATTAGAATTTGTTAGATCAGACAAAGAACCAAAACCTTAAAAACTTTCCATGAAAAAAAATTGAAAAAATTTTGCTTGGAGATGGAGTCTACTTTAGGAAGAGGAAATGATGAACCGCTGTCCTTTGGAGCCTGATATGGGATTATCAGAATGGAAATAAGTGCAAATAGAAGACTCAAGAAACAAAATGAAAAAGAACTAGATTCATTCTTCTCCCTGCAACAAGGTATATTTCAAACAAAAACATCAATTATTTTTTGTTCATCTTTCAAAAGCTATTGAAAGTCTGTAGAAAGCTGTTTAACTTGAATTGCTGTCAATGTATTGTTCAAAACTTTTGTTTTATTGATTTTTTTAAATGCTTTCAGTTGCGACATTATGTCGCTTTTGGTTGCTGTCGCGGCCGATTTGTAGCAGGCATCAGCTGATACGGTTCTGATGCAGTATCTCATTTGTCTAATGGCCAAAATGTGGTGTGTAACAGCCAAAATGCGGTTCAGCACCTTGAGAATCCGTTACAAAGTATGTTCATGACAACCGCTATACTTAGGTTGTTATAATTTAGCTTATTACTCTCAGCTATAAGTGATGTTATTCACTTCTGTTCCATTATAATCTAAAAATTTTCAAATAATTCTTTATATACTTTTCACTTAGTGGAGGCATAACATAGTATTAAAATGTGGCTGTTATGCAACGTAATGACCTCTTTGTAACGAATTTTCAAGGTGCCACACCACATTTTGGAATTTCCATGACAAATTTTCACCAATGTAATGACTGTGCAATGTAATGATGCATTACGCAACGTCTGCAACACCCACAACCACGACTATGATTTAGAACTATGTGAGGCATAATGCATAGAGTTGCAGAATTGGCTTGTAGGAAATTGATGTTTTGTTACTTAAAAAGCTTCTTTTAGTTGTTGGGATGTAGGGTTGGAAGGTTATGTTGAATGCAAGTCAGGTTTGGATGTTAAGGTTTTTCCAAATATAGCTAGGGTGAATAAAGGTGCATGCACTACTTGGAAAAAGGTAGAAGAAATGTTACATTTGGTTGTTGTGGATGGTGTTATATTGAAGCTACTTTCGCAATATATTCTAAAAGAGTAGAAGATGGGCATTTTTTTTCCCTGCCTGAGGTGTAGGTTGCTGAAGAGGTGGATTTTGTGCCTTTCTACATGTTGGAGATCCTTTAAAAATGTGAATTAATAGTGGAAAAAAATGGCCAAAGTAGTTTTTTCTCAGTACATAGGGTCTGCTCATGGTTCATTAATTTATGCAGAAATAGGTTCTTGATAGAAATTCTCCCTCTTCCATAATATAGGAGACCCTTCATCAACTTTGGCCATTGAATTATGCTTTGCTAAGAGGCCACTTAGAGTTAGGCATTATATGAACGTGCATGCCAAAGAGAGGCAAGAGACGAAAATATTTCCAATATACATCCTCTGTCTTTTATTGGTAAACCCGATTGCCTCTACCATCATAGTCATGGAAACTCCTCCCAAAAACCTCACTATTGATGGTAATCAAGCAAGGTTCTCTGGTACGTTTCATGCATAATCTTCTAGCATTGAGAATTATGTTCTCTGGGATCCATTTTAGGGGATCCTCTAAATCAGAATCTTGATTATATAACTTAATATTTGTGATGCATTAACTTTGTAGTGATGTGGTTTGTTCCTTCAAGGAGCAGATTGGTCCTTGATACATTTGTAACCAGAAGGCATTTTGTCTTGGAGAAGATATTGACATAATTTGGCTTGTAAGCCCCAGAACCACAGTAGTTTATTTCCTCATTTTGATACAAAAATCATTAGTCTCTTGAAAATCTTGTCCAAAGAATCTTCTTGGAATCTTGTTAAAAAATTTTGTTAGAAGTATTCCTTTTGAGGAAGGGGAAGAAATCTAAAAATGTAAAAATGTGTAATACATCACATTTATGAAAGTCGTGCCTTTTAAAACTAGTTCTGCCTTACTGAAGGCAGAACTAGTGTATCATGTAAGTCATTACCGTCTTGAATATTGCAACAAGTCCATAGGTCCTCTATGAAAAGGACCTTAGTATATAAAGAGATGCAAGAGAGACAAAAGAAATCTCTCTTTTTGGTTTTTCGTCCGGCCAAGCATCAGTAAACTCCTTTTGACTAATTTTTTATCTCCTATAATTAAGTCCTTGCTTTTGCCTTATTCTTTGACATTATCCGTGCTCTTTCTTATAAAAAATATTAGCCACCAGAACTTGGAGATATTCATCTTGACTTGTTACAACGTTCAACCAGGATAGAAACTCCAGTGCTTATCTGCATGTAGTTCTCATGTTATTATAGGCATTTTATGACAAATTTAGCTATTACGCACTTGTGCTAAGTGTGAGCAAAGCTATTAACTCAAGCATCAGTTGGATAAACTTGAATCAGTAGATTGTCAGTGGTGTCCAATGAGAAGGTTAGCAGTCTCGCTGCAGTTTTCCAAGGGATGTTATCCCGATCTTTCTTCATGCATATTCACATTGCATCATTCAGAATACCAGTAAAATAGCTAGGTATGGATGTTTTGGCTTCCTGTTGCTTATTTAGATCATCCATACATCCAATCTTTGACTATTATTTTCTGGGATCAATTGAAATGGTCTTTTCTTTTCTTCTTGGTTAGAGGCACAGTGGAGATCCACTTCGTGTGTACATGGACCTTGAGGCTGGCAGGAGGCGTTCAGGTTGGGAGGATATATTCATCAGTTACCATGCAAAAGATGATGTTCAGTCAACTTATGCTGGTGCTCTCTTTCATAATGGTCGAAATTACCACATATCTTCATATAAGAAAAATGTGAGTAGTGGGCTTATATTTCTTTGTTCATGTGTTGTTCCCCAATTATCTCCTTTCATAAATCCATGGTTGTAATCACATTTGGGTTCTTTTTCTTCTTTGAATCTATTTCAAGGATACACTTGTTTATTGGTCTTCATCACGTTGCCTTCCTCAAAGAAACCAGCGTGCAAAGAGTCTCCTCAGGTTCCTGCCTCACCACTCATTTGGCAAATGCCTGAACAATGTTGGTGGTTCAGACATGGCCCTTTCCTTCTACCCTGAGTGTACCAATGATGACAATACCCCAAAGTGGTGGGACCATTTACATTGTGCCATGTCTCATTACAAATTTGTCCTTGCAATTGAAAATACCGTTACAGAGAGCTATGTGACTGAGAAGCTATTTTATGCTCTGGACTCTGGTGCGATTCCTATCTATTTTGGTGCTCCCAATGTCCTGGACTTTGTCCCTCCACATTCAATTATAGATGGAACTAAATTTAGCTCCATGGAGGAATTGGCTTCCTATGTGAAAGCCCTTGCTAATGACCCTGTCGCATATGCTGAGTACCATGCCTGGAGAAGATGTGGTGTATTAGGTAACTATGCAAAGGCCCGTGCAGCAAGCCTCGACACATTGCCATGTCGATTGTGTGAGGCAGTTAGTAAAAGAGGTGGAAGAAATGCAAGAACAGAATGAACTATTTATTGGTTTATAGTTCAATTAACTTTCCTGGTATTGGTAACTATAGTGAGTCATCAATTTTGTGTTTGATCTAAATAGAATTTGATGGAAAATGACCAATGGATTTGGTGGTAGGTGTAAAGTGGCTAGATTAACATGAACGAGGAATGAGGGACAAAGAAAGGGAATATTATCATATCATACTTGTTTTACCTTTTCTTGTGTTTAATCATTTACTTCTATTTCTTTGTATAATTTTTATACTATGTTTTGCATTGATGTTTACATGGTCGAGATCATGGCCAATTCACTTCTAAATCTTCTGCTGCAAATGAAAATGATGATGGAAAGAGTTTTTTTTTAATTTTATTTGAAGATTAAAAGTTCAGTATTCTACAAGTAGATCATATAATCGCTTGGCGACTTGACTGTTTCTTGATGCTTTTGTTAACTTCATCATCATCATCTTCCTTGTGGAACTTCCATACAGATGCCATTATTCCACTGCATGTTGAAGGTTTAGGCTTCACAGCCTTTTGGACCTGTCTCATCATTAGCTTAACTAATTCAAACCAAAGTTGCATTTAATCTTTTCAATAAGAAACTATTAGAACTGTTGAAGATGCTAACACCATGAAAAGTGATGAGACATAACCTTTCAGCTCTTACCTTTTGATTAGTTTTGTTCTTCTGGATCTTCACACTCTTCAGTTCTTCTGGTCTGTTTTGAAGGTATTCCTTCAACACATCATCCTTCATGGCATCTATTGTATCAGTCTACCATGTTTCAAACCAAAAGGAAAACAAAAACACCATTTTTTTTCAGTCATCCAGTATTCAAAGCAAATGATAAGCAATTCTTCAATACACATGATCCACAGTTGCATGATCTATTAGCAGATAATCAACAGCTGCGTGATCTATTAGTAATGTACTAGATTTTTAATTTCAGTGATTAGGATTCAAATCTTGATAATTTAAAATAAAAAAAATTATACATTTAAGAAAAAAAAAAAGCTAGAAAACAAATAATACCCATTTCTTGAGATCATCTATATCTTTTAACAGAGCTTGTTCTTCCTTGTCTACCATTTTTATCTTCTCTTGCAATGACACAGCATTTGGCTTTGATGCTATCTTCTTGCTCTTCTTTCCTACTCTCCCACTTGACATATTTCCTTATAATTATGTAACTGAATCTACCCTATAATAATTGAGGAAATTGATTAAGCTTTGGGAATTAATGCAAAAAGGAAAAAAAAATAGTATATGACAAGATTAGAATTTGAGGTCAATATAACGGTTTTATCAGATGCTGCTCGTAACTTGTAGTTGTGGCCTAACGTTTCAGAATGAAATTAGTGAAACCCCAATTCCTGGAAACTGTTACATCAAGGCAAGCACATGTATAACATGTGAACCAACCGAAAATCTAGATTTACCGATGTATGACATTAAGGCAATAAGTGGATCTTATTTCTTAATGATATAAATCAGAATGATCACAAAAGATTGGTGAAAATGAAAATTTTAAATAAAATACAATGATACGATGTTAAAAGAAAACAAAAAAATATGAAAATGATATGGTAAACTGATAAAAATCGTACGAGTTTGATAAAAAAAAAATGTGCTTCATTTTTTATGTCGATATAAATTGTAACATAATAATTTTCGTATTTTATATACATTTGACATAAAATAGACCTAATTAGGGCGTAACATTCCTTTGTATAATGTCACATTGTAAAGAAAAAGAAAACATCCTATTGATTATAACGATGAAGAGGAATCTTATAGTGATTTACAGAGATTATGACCTTTACGATAAGCAAATTGAAGGAAAGAGATGAGAAGGTAGTATTAGAATGCTATGATGAGTTTTGCTTCATATCTGACAACACCTCAAATTAGTTGGGAACTATTGGAGTATGACCCTCCAAATATAAGGAAAAACTTAAGAAAATTGAAAGCACCTGTGTCAGGAACATACTGATATCCCAAAATTGACACATGATGACATGATTGGAACAACATTAAAATGGAAAATCAACTAGTCTAGAATTCAGTTTAACATGGTTATGTTCAATTGAGAAGAGTACAGGAACAAGTTTTTGAACAGAATCAAGTTAATATGGAGTCTCAATCATTTAGTTAAGATTTAGTTATTACTCAATTATTTAAATTGTAATGATCCTTTGTGGATATGTAAATGCCAGATATGGAAAAAGTTGTTGCTTTTGGAGCTGTGCTTTTTATTTATAGCTTGCATGCCAAGTTGGATCTCTCGTCTTTTTATTACTAGAAGATAATATGATGTTTGTTGGGCTGTAGTATATTCCTGTGTTCATGTATCTATTGTTTGGGTTCATTTTTATTTTCATTATCCATCCAGTATTGTAATTCAACATGCTATATAAGAAAGAATATGCTAGCATATATGGTAAATCATTATATCAACCTCAAATTTAAGTTGGATTTCCACTACCCTTCAGGAGTAAGACTCTTGTTTCACCTGCTTTGCTCTTTGATGGTTTAATAATAAGTTGAGCTTTGATTAATCCATCCTTTGACCAGGAACATTGGTTATCTATGTAAATAGGACTATAGGAACTTTTCGTTCATAACTTTAATGGTCAGCTTTCTATGTCTTGAAATGCATTGCCTACTGTCCTGTATATAACTTATTTCTGCTTAAATGTCTTCGATACTCTTTAATTTTGCTTATCATCTGTCATTTTTTTATGGCTGCAAAAAGAAAAAACAATCTTACCCCTCAGCTTCAATCATGCAGATGAATTTTTGGGGGATTTTATAAAACAGAATTTGCTCCCTCTGGTGGTGCCCTTGAACCATGAGACATTGAAGCAATTGATAGATAAGGAGAGGAAAATTGTCCTGAAAATCACAGGTGATTTGAATGAAGAACAATCACAGAACTTGATCAAGTTATTGAAGGCTGCTGCATCTGCAAATCGTGACTTGGTATTTGGTTATGTTGGGGTTAAGCAATGGGAAGACTTTGCTAATAAATTTGGGGCCAATGAGAAGACAAAGTTGCCAAAAATGATTGTCTGCAATGGAGATGTGAGTATTACCACACTGCCCTTGTAGCACCTTTCTTCTTTCAATGTTTCTAGTGCTCTATCGTCAAGATTAGTCACTGTTCACCTGCTCTGTTGATCTTGTACAGTGTTGTTTCTTATAATTCACAACATATCATAATTATTTCTAATTGAAATGGAGCTTGTTTCTATATTTGCTGAGAAGCAATTTTAGAGCGTCAGTGACTGAGGTGAAGTAGAGCGTAGAAAGATAACAAGGAAGGATTAAGAGAAGGAGAGAAGGATCATAAACATAAGTTGGAAGGGAGGAAAATAAAATAAAAGGAGCCATCATCCCTTGAGTAATGATCATATGATGGTGTCACACAAGATGACAAGAAGAGACTGAGGTAAAAGTAATGGGTTATGTGCACGAGTGTTTTGGGTAGGAATGCAAGTGAACTGGTGCACAGTGAATGAGATTAGTTTTGGTTTTATTCAACTTTATTTATTGAGCCAAACAAATGATTTCAAATATAATTTTGCAAACCGAGTTTAGTATATTAGTTCAACTCAACCATGGGTGAAGCTCAATACATTCTTGAATAGGCTTGTTCATAACATGTTTAGCTGCTAGATCTTTACTTGTTTAATCCTTCAAAGAAAGATTGTTCAGCCTCATTAAGAACTCATTTAACGAGATTATAGTATACATGACAATATTAGATATTCTCTTTTAGGCTTTCATTTCCCTTTCTTTTCAACCTAGGTGCTCCAATCCCCCACTTTTAGGGAGCTCATTTCCCTTTCTTTTTCTGATGGAGAAAAGAAGAAATGATGCAAGTCAATAAATATCTTATCAAATACATTTTTAATTCTTTAACTGTTATTAAACCCTTTTTTTAGCTTTTACTCAGTATTGAAAAGAACTCTTGTTTTTATCTCTTCATAAATAAAGATTAGTATGTATGTATGTATGTATACATGTATTTATCTATCTATCTACTTTCTTAAATGTCTTCATCCAAATTGCAAACTCTGAAATTATAGAGCTTGCTATTGGTGATTCTGCTTCCAAATTTTAATAATTGTTTCTTGAGTTTTCCTTGAATTCATTATCCCTATATCTTTTGAACCAATAAAATTGTTTCTAAAAGCTAGTAAGTGCTGGAGTTGGGTTTCTTCTATGATGATTGATCGTCTTCATCTAGAAAATGTATGATTGTTGTTCGTGGTGGCTTCTTCCTTGACGTTTCAACATGTATATTTCTTACATTTGAGGTTATCAAGATTTGAATCCTGATCATTAGAACTAAGAGTGATATTCTATAATAGTTGATCATATTCATCTAGAAAAGGCTATAAAACTAAATCACGTTCACTGACCTACTACATTTTGTTGATATGCAAGGTTAATGGTATTGAAAGCCTTGATAACGAGGATCAGGGGCCTCAAATCTCACTGTTCCTGAAGGATATAGAAAAGGAAGAACAGAAAGGAAAACGGGGCATCATTTATGGGCTTTATCAATTCACTAATTGGCATTAGAACTGTTTACATAATTGTCTTTATCGTTGCAATGATGATCCTTATACAAAGTATTGGTAAAGACCACGAACCTCTCCGGGTTGGCAGTCGAGATGAGGCTGATCATGCTAAGAGCTCTGAGGCTGAAAGCAGTCATATGGAGCTAAGAAAGAAGATTAAACTTAGGCATCTTCCTGGTTGAGATATAGCAACAGAAAAAGATACGTATGAAATAGAGTTGTTGTGCAGGGATCAAACCTGTTAACAATGCTATGCTGAAACCGATTATTCCTGCTTTCTCGACATGTATTTTGCTGTGTTCAATGCAGGCAGTCTTGTTTCAAGAACTTGAGTGTTAAGGAGTAATGGTATGTATTTATCAACAGTCCTTGTTCTTTCCTCTGAACACTGTTATTGCACATTCATGGGTTTATTATTTTCTTTATTTTCCATAGCTTTGCAATTTTTCTTCAATAATGTACTATTTTTTTGATGAATCAAGTGATGTACAATAATTGTTTCATTTCAATCTAGTTCTGTTACAGGAAGTGTATGGTGTGTCTTTTCTTGTTTTTCTATTTAGCCGTAAAGAGTTTGTGAGCTTGGATCAGTATATTTCTTCTTTGAGTTAGTCCAAACGGACTTCTTTATATCGAAGTTAATGAATTCATGAAAAATTATCTTCCCACAATCTCCCAACGAATACGAACACAGACAAAAAAAAAAAAAAAACCCACACTCTTTACCATTTGACTCAACCATACATTAATCTAGGAGCAAAAGCAGAGAACTCTCAACTTCTAAGTAGTAGAATGCTATTGAGAACTGGGTGCCTTCAAAACTTTTTTACCTTTATATCCCCCAGTTTTTTTTTTCTTGGAATTTTTACAGGCAGCATTCATTGACATTAAAATGAGATGCTCTTGCAAGTTTACAATAGATTTCTCTCCTTTCTTCCCCAACAAAGCAAGGTATGTAAAACGATTTTAACACATTTTTCCTCTTCAAAGCATCAACAATTATTAGTGTGGAAAATTAAGGTTACTTGTACATTTGGAAAAAGAAAATCCAAATTGGAAACAACACACTGCTAATATCAACATGATTAGGCATCTACAGAATTCAGTTGTTAAGGGTTAACTATATTCACAGACGGCTAAAACAATGTTAACAATTCTCTACTCACATTAATACACATTCTCTGAGTATAAACTTTCAAAACCTCATTAATATAAACCACAATATCATTTTGGGAATCAAGACAAATGACACAAATCTCATGCAACAAGGTACAAATCCAGCAACAACATGTTACATTCTCGACATTGGAAAAGAACGCAAGCAATCACATCAAGAGGAGCCCGATAATGGTATAATGACCTATGATTAGTACCAAAGATCGGAAAGATTTAATGTATGTAGCTCACTCCATTATATGAAATTCAGCTTGTTATTATTCATCTAATTAACATTCTGGAAGAGAATGAGCAGATGCAAAAGGCGAAAAACTAGTAGCTGACTCACTGTAATGCAGTGGATGCAGGTGGTGACCAGAAGAACTCACTAAATTTGGTGACGCGTTGCTTGGGCTTGGTAAACAGGGGGACATGTATCTTGCATTAAGAGGTGATATAGATGGGTAATTAAATGAGGCCGGTGAAACCAAATGAGAAGCATGAGATCTTTGAGAGTATGTGTTCCTAAGATCTACTGAGCTTCGGCTATAGCTCATGGAAGGAGATTGATGGTAGGACCCAAGTGATTGCGGAATATATGGACTACTGACAAGAGAATGAGTATGAGAAACTGATGGAGACCATGATGCTTCAGGGGCGATTTGTATGGCTGATGATGATGCTAATGAGGATCTAACAGATGACAACACAGAGGAAGACATGGAGCTTGGGGTGGATGAAAGCAATGGTGTACTTTCTGACGCAGGTGGATCACTTGGGCTAGTTCTTGCATCTCGTTTGCAAACAGGGCAAAAAGTTCTCCACGTCGTAAGCCAAGAATCAACACAGAAAGCATGAAACTCTGAGAAAAAAATGCCAATAAATATTCAGATATACACATAAAGTATAAACTTCAATAAATAAAAATAAAGTAAACAAACCAAGTAAGAAGTTGAAGAAGCTTTCTAGATGTCACTATTAAGAAGGCAAGAGTGATAGCAAGGGTATACATTCCCAACTCATGGTGCTCCAAATAAAACTAAAAAATAATAAATAACTGATGTAAAATTGATATATTTCTTTTAATTTTTCCTCAAGCTACATTTGTTCGAGGGAGGGGATGATAAGGACACAATTCATACATATTTCATGACTGCTTCTTAGAAGCAGTATTTCATATTCTTGAAAATCACAACATAAAATATAACAAAAAAATAATTCATGCAGGACAGAGAAGGGTTGGTTTTAAACCTAAACAGAGTGGGAAATTTAATAATAAAAAGAAACAAGATAAGGTCTAGGCTTGACACCGAGATATCCTTACAAGTCACAACCTGGCATCTGGTGGATTTTCACCTTGAGCTAGGGTTACTAAAATGCAATCCTAATAAAAGTATAACAGCTGCTAAAATTTTTCCTAAATGTGATATAATTAATTGGAAGCAGTTTAGACTTCCAGATAACCTAAACCAACAAGGATATTTTCCAACTGGAGTCAACTTTTTAAAAAAAATTCCTATGCTCTAAATAAAATCCCAAAATAATAAGCCTCTTGGACTACACACTTTGCAATTTCCAGAAAATCTGAAAATTACCAGAAGAATCTTGACTCATAAATTTATAGAAATAATCAGATTAAATAAAATTTACTACTTCCTAGCACAAACATGCATGAAATTAAAACTTATCATAACTAAGCCAGCTGGCTAAGATTCTATATTAGTTTTGACATCAGGTAAAGATCAAGACCCCTATTTCTTTGGCATTAATATTGCTTATTGTTCTTTCCCCCATCCATAACCACATCCAAATTGTAAGGTCTTCCTTACAATTCAAACAACTTTTTCTTAAAGATAATTAGAATAAAAGAAAGAAAGGTATGTAGGAATTAGGATTAGTCCAACATTAAGAACAGACCACAACTCTAGATTTCTTTGGCATTTGATCTTGTATCGTGTTCTTTCAAACATTACAAAACACCTTATAATTTGAAAGTCTTTTTTACAATTCAAACAAAATATCTTAAGGGTAATGGCTACACTCAAAGAAGTCATACACATGTATTTGTTTTTACCAAAATGATAAACAAACCCAAAACTCAGACCAACAGAAATCATGGAGCCTAATATCACTACCTTGAACATGACACTACTTAGTCACTGAGAAGGAAGCAACAATTGGACAAATAGGGAAAATATTAGCAATATTTACTACAAACAAAAAGCTCATGTAGCAGAACTAAGAGTGGATAGAAAAATGAAAAGATAGAAAATTGAAGGGAGAGAAAAGTGAAAAAAAAATGGAAAATATATGTTTTCTTTTATATTAAGGTTAGTAGGAAAAATGGAAATGTGGAAGGAAAAGTAATTTTCTTTTCATCCATTACTTGGTATGGTTAAAAAATGAGAAGAAGGAATACAATAATTATATTATTTTACCATTATACTTTACTTAAGTTACGATAACAAGATAAAATCTAAAAAATTATAGATGATCTTGTAAATAAGCACACTTGACTCAAATCTTTCTCATTTTCTCTTCTCCTATCTTTCCGATTTGGAATGGTCTGTTTCTTGTGAATGAGGGTGAAAAATGAACATCTTTCCTATTTTTTTCTTCTCACTTTTCTCTCTTGCCAAGCACACCCAATAGTCATTTTCTTTCAGATTTTCCACCCCCTATCCATCCTTCTACTTTTCTACTCTATCAAGCACACCCTAAGAGCTTGATTGACCAAGCAATGCAACACTATTTACTTAAAAATCTTTTTGAAGGCAAAGATCTTAGAGATACATTAGTAATTACGTAACATAACAAGAAAAATTTTTTGTATAATAATAGTAATACAAACGTTCTCCTCCAGTCTTGAGTCATCAAAGAGTATATCTGTGTCTTTAAATGAATGGAATAAACAATTATCTCAGGACAGCAAACAAGTGATATAAGAATAAATGGAGGTGAGCACATGTAAGTCTGCATGCATTCTGTAATCAATTGTAATTTGGATTTCTTTAAGAGATATAAGATTTAGGACGTGCAAATATCACATGATAATCAAATTTCAACATTTGGGACAACTATATATATGAATCCATTTTCCCACTCAACTCTAACTTATGTCTTTTGAGAATTTTAGAATAAGAATGCAAAGGACCTGCTAATGACATTTGCTTTAATCATTCAAGAAATATTCTTTTTATAATAACAAAGAACAATTCCTGAGAAGAGAAGTTAGATAAACCCCTCAAGCGTATGGCTACAAAAGCTATTGTGAATTCACAGCTGTGCACTACAAGTCTACAACAATATTTTCTGGTCTATGCGAAACTCAGAAACAATGTCCATTTACTCCCTAGCTTCCCATATTTGAGTTTTGATTTTAAAATGGGATACTAATCAGAATTATTATCTCAAGTGCACTGTGTATTATTATTGAACTCATTGAGAAGAAATTATTAGTATCTGAATGCTTCTAAATCAAATGGAACAAATAGTTTTCATCTCCTCTTAAAGCTAAATTTGTGCTAGTGCAAACAGCAAACAGCCATTGGGAAACAATAGAAATATGATAGCCACCAACAAAAAATGTCTCATGAGATTGATGGCCTAATCTCTATGCAAAATACATACAAAAGGACACATGGCCACCAAATTAAAATAAATATAATTAACACAAAAATAGCAAGCAATGTCATCCTCAGTGTTGTAAGAAGCTTACTGTGACAACATGGAAGAATCCTGAGTTTCTCTCCCACGGTATAATCTTCAAGACATATTGCACACGTTCTAGATGTACAATTATCTTCTAAGACCACAGTGAATATCAAGCTAGGCATTGCTTTTACCAAACGCCTGCTCATTCCATGGAATTCACGAACTCGAGAAGAATGAGGGCGTTCTCGTCTAATGCGATGCCTACGTACAAAGAAACAAGTTGCCAGCACTGCTGACATGGCAAGTAGAGAAATAAAGGAGATGGCCATGATCGACCATGCTGAGTTTTCAAAACTAGGGATTAGCCATAACTCCATAGCAGTAGACCCAGCATACTTTTTGAGTATTTCACCAGAGGCTTTGGAAACAAAGACAGCATGTATCTTTATGCCAGCTGAATTCCCAGCCACTATAAAAAAAAGGGTAAAATTAGAGGCATCATATAGAAAAGTATATTTTTGTTCAAGAACAACAACAATGACTGAAACAAATAAACATCTGCCACTCAAGGAAATATTAAAAATAAAAATAATAAAGGAATTTGCAACGGAACAAAAATATGTCTAAATGAATAAGGGCAGAATATTTATAAATGTAGATGAATTAAATTAAATGATGGTAAAGATTTGGTCCTAATTCTCACTCCTCTTGAAAGCATTCAGAGTCCAGCATAAATACACCACTGTCCCATATAACACATCTTTAATTTCATCACCCACTGTCATTTGCAATCTACCCTAGCAAAAAAGTTATCTTCCAGACAGTAAATCCAACATCCAAAAAGTATTTACTTGTTGGAGATGATTCGGCAATTAAAGGTGTGATTGATTAAGGTATTTACAGTTTGATAGGTGTAACATGTTTCTAACTAAGAACTAAATCTAAAGAACTGAAGATATAAGCATGACGAGTTATCATAATAAACTGTTTAAGTGGTATAATATGCATACTGCTTTGAAGAATCACATAATATACAATTAATTTTACAAGTATGTGGCAAATGCAGGAGGACTAAAATGGAAAAAAATTTGCAATTTTTGTCTGCCAAGATCGATGGATTCAAATTGTTCACAAAATTATATGCATCAGAAACAGAACCAAGTACAGAATTTTATCTAGGAGACCAGATAAATTAGAGTAAGATGAAAAGTTTTCTATCTATAGGAAAACAATATTTACTAGTGGGAGTTAACTAGGGACTCTAGATCATGCAAAGCACATTTCTCCAACTTCTTCCTTATCAAACTTTGCCGAACAACTACATCAGCCCAATCCCTACTAAAGATGAAAAGCATATTCTACAAAATTAAATTTGTGGTCCATGAGGTTACTCATGTTTTCAGAAAACATAAATATGGTTTAATGACTAGCAAATCACACCAACCTACCATTCAACAAATACATCATATGTGAGAATGCTTATGGTCAAAATGTCTGAAAGGGTTAAACAAAAGATGAGTAATTAAACTGATGCAATCAAGATTTAGGGACAAATAAGGTCAAAAGGAAATTCAAAGAGGACAACAGGTTTTTTAGGATTTACAATATTATTTATATTAGCAAATCCTGTTAAAGATCTCCCAGAATTTATTGACACAAAAAGGGTCTATTTTATCATTTACATAGTGTTCCAATAATGATTATTGGCAGCAAATTGCTCTTGCAAACCAAGTTTACCAAAATGTACATAAATATGCAATTGCAATCATTCAATATAAAAGATGTTTTTCAAAGAAACAGGGCATTACTTGCAACCAAGACACCATCATCATCATCGTTATAGACGATGGCGGCTTTGAATCCTGCCTTTTGCACTCTCCTTACTTTCTCCTCGAAACTGCACCCTCCTCTAATAACCAACGCAAAAGGGGAAGTAACATTCGAAACTTTTTCAGCTTTATTACTCAAATCCGAACACGCATCAAGAGGCTTTGCCAAATATAATACCCCACATTCCCCTGACCCTTTAATTGCTGGAGCTGAAAATTACCAACAAAACAAAATCGTAAAACAAACATTCACTTATATTTTCAACACCAATAGACTTCAATTTCTCATTTCATGCACAGTTTATACAAACAAAAGATAAAATAACATATTCAATCAAATTAAATAAGTTCAGCTCAAATAAGAAAACACATATTCAACTTTGAGCTCTTAGAATACCTAAAGATCCAAAATTTCCTGAATTTTCCCACACTTACTCAAGAACTAAACAGAACAAATCGAAAATAAATTTAAAAAAGAAAAAAAAAAAGCTTACCAAAATTAGCTTCAATAGCATCAAAAGAGAGGGTAACGTTGCTTCCAATCAACACAACACCGGCTGACGTCATCCAACAAACACTCAATAAACAGAGAACCCATAATAATAATAATACCACAGCACGATTCATCTTAATCCAAAAATTACCAAAAATAAATTCGACCTCAAATAAAATACCCTAATTCTCTGTCTAAAGGAAGGGATTTGATTTTGTTGGGGGTTCAGAAGGGAATGGATACATCAGCTTCCATTAGCACAAGAGAAATAGGGAGAGAAACCAAAATAAAGAGAGAATATATGAATCTGGGGATTCTGCTTTCAAAATTGATGCTTTTTAAATCTGATGATAGTAATTTCTTATTTCATCAGATTGTTTTAAAGATCCTGTGCAATTAGTTCGAATACAATATCGAAACGGAGAAAGCTTTTTGTTTTGTTTTAGTTTTTCTTGTGTTCAAAACATCCAATTAAATATTAGAAAATTAATAATAATGATTTTTTCAGCAGTACTTACTTTTTACAGGGATACTATTTTTTTGATCCCTTAACTATTTTATTTATTTTCTAATGTAATATCTAAATAAAAAATATTTGTAATCAAGTACTTAAACTATTTTTACGAATATTAATTTGTCTCAACCTTTAATATTATTAAAATAATATTAATATGATATTTAAATATTGATATAAATAACACATGATTGTAACGTGATCTAAATTAAAAATATCAATTTTATTCATATTCAATGAAAAATTTAATTTTTTACTTGAATAAAGCTAGAGATAAATATTATATTGTGAGTATGGAGATGAGAATATGTATGATTTTAAATTTTTATTAGTTACAGGATTAGAAATAGGTAATATTGCACTCATATCGTACATAAGATGTAACTGATATATTAGTACAATAAATTATTTGGATTTGATTCGAATAAAATTTAAATTCAATTCGATTATTATTTAGTTGAACTCAAGCTTAAGTAAATTGACTTATTAATTAAATCGAGTTCGAGATATTTTATTAATTAAAATATATTAAAATATTAAAATATAGTTTAATAGAGTTTTTATATTTTAATATATTTTAATTAATAAAATATCTTGAACTCAAATATAAATAATCAAAAATTTATTAAATATAAAAATTGAATTTATTTTTACATGTTAATTGAGTTTAATTAAACGAGTTTAAGTAGTTTGATTTTTATCTTGGGTCGAACTTGAACTAAAAAAATAAAATTTGATCAAGTTAGAGTCAAAATTTGAGTTTCAAATTTCGAATTAAGCTCAAACTTAAGCTTAATACTGTATCGATTCGAATTCAATTGATTACATAAATTATTATTTTAGATTAATTAAAATTAATATATTTTTATTGAAAACTATTAATATATATTTCTAAAAAATTACTTAAATATACAAGATAAAAATTTAAAAATTTAAAAAATTTTAGTTTTTAATTTTTTAAAATTATAAATATAAAGATTACTCATACTTATTTTTACGTGAGGGTGTGAATATGAATAATTTTAAAATACTCAAAAGATATGAATATAAAAATGAGTATAATATAAAAATTTATCGATGGAGATAAGAAGTGTTTTACTTTACTCTACCCTAACCATTCCCTATTCTAGATATGATTTTTATGCATTATTTAAAAAAAATAAATATAATTTTTAAGAAAAAAGTTGTTATTTATTAAAAATAACGTGATAATCACATCATTATTATTGGTAATTATATATCATTCACGTCAATATTTAAATATTATTTAAATATTATTTTAATAATGATAAGAGATTAGGATAATTTAATATATAAAATTAAAATTTGAGTATTTGATTACTAATTTTTTAAATTTAGATGCCACATTAGAAAAATTATGATAGTTTAGGTGTCAAATTAGGTATTATCCCTTCTTTATATATTTTTGTTGATAAAGCCGTTTAGGTCAAGCAATTTTGTCTTTTAATGGACAATGATAGCTTTTCTATAATCTTTGACGGCCGAAGAAGAAACTAGATTAATCTAAAACTTAATTAATTAATTCCTAAAAAAATAACTAATTAATTAAAACTTTTTTGAGACTGATAACATGTTATTAACTTTATTATGGACAAACATATCAAAAGCAAAAACAAAGGTATTATGGCAATTAGCCCACTTGGGAAGTCGGGATTAGAGCTGCAGATGTGTCAGGTTGGCCAGGTCAAAGTTCGGTCAGCTTTTTAAGATAATGTTTGAGGTGTGGTCCGAAATCCGGAGTGTTGGATTCAATAGGTCCAAAATTTTTTAAAATATTAAATTTTAATATTTTTATTATAAAATTAAATTTAAAATATTTTTAATAACTTAATATCTCAAATCAAATGAAATCTAATCACAAATTCTTGTCGGCTCTCGAAATTATTTACTTGAAATTATTTCATTATTATTATTATAAAGATGAATGTTATGAAAATTTATAAATAATAAAAAAATATTTAATATAATATTAAATATTTAAAATTTTTAATATGACATTCGAGTTATAAAAATTTTAATTATTGTGATATTTATGATAATATAATTATTTTTAAATAATAATATATGATAAATAAATAGCTATATAAATATTATATTAATCTTTTAATATTAATCCTTATTATAATAGAGTATTAAAAATATTTATTAAGATTATGTTTTAAAAATTTTATGTAATGGTAAATAATTAATTCTCTTTAAAAAAACTTGATCTTTTTGTCTAATAACAATTTGAACTTGCAAGCCTCACCATTATTCACAAATTATTTTGATTTGCAAATTAAATTAAATGCTTTCTTGTATTCACAAAACAAATGCCTTGGATATGAACAATGGAAAATCTTTTCCAATACAAAATAGTTTCTTTTGAAACACAATAATTTTTTAGGTGATATTTAAAACACAATAATTAAAAGTGAAGAATTGTTTGAGGAATATATAATAGGGTTAATATTATAAATAAATTTTAAATTATAATGAAATATTTAATATGATATTTAAATTTTAAAAAATTTTAATGTGCTACTTAAATTATGAATTTATTAATTAATATGATATTTACCCTAATATCATTTAGTTCAAAATAATAATATGTGATTGATAAATAAATTTTAAAATATTATATTAGTTAAGATATTTATAATTTTAGTATTACATTAAATATTTTTAAAATTTAAATATCATATTAAACATTTCATCATAGTTCAAGAAACATTTGTGAGATTATTCTTATATAATATCATTAAGTTCGAGCTTTTACAAAGAAATTTGTGACTTTTTTATTAGAATGAACTAAATTAATTGAGATTTTAAGTTGAAATGGAGTATTAATTAAAAGAATTAATAATTTTTAATTATGAATTAATTAATTAATATGATATTCATTTTTAATATTATTAGCTTTAAATAGTGATATAAAATTGACAAACAACCTTCAAATACCACATTAATTAAAAAATTCATTGTTCAAATACTATATTAAAAATATTTAAAATTCAAATATCATATTAATCTTTTTTTTTTATAATTAAAGAGCAATTTGTGACATTATCTTTATATAATATCATCAAGTAGGGTAAGATAAAGTTAGAGCTTTTACAATGAAATTCATGATTTTTTTAAAATTAAAATCAATTAAATTAATTAAGATTTTAAGTTAAAATAATATATTAATTGAAGGAATTAAGCATGTTATCTATACATCAATCTATACATACATTACAATTAAGTTGTTGACAACTTGCTACTGTATTAATTTTTTTTTTCTTTGGATGTAGAAAGAAGGGAGAAAAATAGTTGGTTGGAGCAGAGGAGAGTAAAATAAATAAAAATGGTTTTTGAAAAAATTTTGTACGTGGAGTATTATATTAAAATTGCCATCAAGTGAAAATAACTTTTAATTAAAGAATAGTTTACAATTGAACTATTCGATTGCTCGTCACATGTGATATTATTATTATTATTATCCTTGAATTTGATAGAAAATATATTTATCCTTTTAGTTTGAAAGACACCTCTTATCCTTCGAGGTTTGATAATTTATAATTTATAAATAATAATTAATGAGCACAATAAATAAATAAATAAAAATGTAATTTTAACTCATTTTAATTTACAATGTATAAGATTAAAATATAAAAAATTAATAAATAAAAAAATAAATATTATGAACTGCTTATAAATTATAGTAAAATATTTAATATAATATTTAAATTTTAAAAATTTTTAATATAAAATTTAAATTATAAATTTATTAATTAATATGATATTTATTTTATTACATTTAATTTTAAATAATGATATATAATAAATAAATAATTTTTTAAATATCATATTAATTTAGATATTTTAAAATTTATATATTATGTTAAATATTTGATTATAATTTAAAATTATTTATAACATTAACCTTAAATAAATTAATAAATAAAAATTATATTTTAGAGTGGGCAAAATATAATTTTTATTTAATATTAACATAGAATCCGACTGTTGTCCGTCATTGGAGGAATATGAAATATCTGTGATAGTCCCGTTTGGTAAGATGGATAAGGCACATGATTTAGATCGTTGCCGATTTGGAAACCACCCGCTGTTTTACTTGGTCAATTCATCACTATCTTCCAAAATGCCATAATTTTGTCCATTCTTGCCTTGGTAGATATTTCGATGGTAGGTTGGTTTTTTTTAGGTAAATTACATAAAATCATTTTATTATTTAAGAGGGATTGAAAGTGTTTTATAAAATTTAAAAGTTAATATTTAATTATTTTATGATTTATTTTATTAATTTTTTTTAAATTGTGATTTTTTTAAAACTTTTTTCTTTCTTTTTCAACAATTTACTTTTTTTTTTTAAATCCAAAAAAGTTATAAATTAAAAAAAAAAAAAAAATCTCAGCTATTCCATCATTGGTCCCAATCAACATTTCACTGTACTTTATAAAATTTTCCACTTTGCATAAAGGTTATAATCCAAAGCTAAGTGCTAATTATCATTTTGAAAACAACACTAACAGGATAACAATAGTAATTCAATCAATTAATTCCCGTAAATCATAAAAAAAATTTACAATTAGAATAGATGAATTATTTCATAAAAATAATTGGAGATTCAATCCTTAAAAATTTAGATAACCAAAATCATACCAAAATTCTTATTTAATTTATCTAAAAAAATCTAATACAATCCCAAGTTGAACAAAAACTAACATCCCAATTATACAAAAAAATTACTTTCATCTAAATTCTAACTTAAAAATTAATTCATGATCTAATACAAAATCTATCCAAAAACAAAAAAGAAAGTCAGAATCCGCATTTAAAAATTCAAATAAAAATCTTATTATTCAATAAAAATATTAAATTAAATAAAAAAATAAAACACCTAAATCAAATTTAACTTAAAAAACAAAAATTACATCAAATTG